AGAAAAAAACTTGATCCCCCTGCATTTTGACCAGCCCCCCTTCCCAGATAAAAAATGATAAGTCCCTTAGGCAAAACATAATCTGGAGATTGGAGTTCATTTATTCTGTTCATTTTTTAAAGAAGAATTGGGAAGGGGATCCTACCCTCAAGACAAAACTTTATAATGAACATCCCCCTTTTAAAGCTCAACTTAGACCTTGGTCTATACAATTTTGAACGTCACTGCCAACAAGCATATCCTAGGATTAATGTCATTACATACGAAATTGTGTTTATATAACGATAAATTTTGAGAATAATATAATAAGTTAAAGCTTCAACTAGGATATGAAAAATTAATTTATATTGAATTCAGTTTTAAAGGATAAAAGATTATAATTTTCTATTTTGAGTCTCATACTATGAAATCCTAGAACTATTTTCGTCATCAACACAAATAACAATAGACATATAGAGATCACATACAGTCTTCCATAAAATAGTGTAATTATTTCAAGTTTTAAATCCCCCCACAAATCAGAGACATACAATACAAGAGATTGGCAACTTAATGTAGTGGCCATATTATCTTTAAGAATATGATATGGCTCTGTTATCAGAATATTCTGATAGTGTCTCAAAAATAGAATTTAATGGGTAAATATCATCATTAAAAAATTTGGAAGGCTATCATTCCTAAAAGGAGTCAACTTATGACTTTTGTGATGAGACTTATTTGTAGATCTTTTTATGCTGATCATTAGGTACTATTTCTGTACTAAAAATCTGTAGTACTGGAAATTTACTTTTAATATTAAGTACTATTTCTTTACTTTAAAATTCTTGTAATATTTAGGTACCTGTATTTTACAGTACTTGATTTGTACTTGAAATGTTTGGTGCAGAAGTAATACCAACAATGATAACAATATTCCATGTTTGAAAATCATAACTTTAAGATATTTGAAATAGACAAACTTTCAAAATGCTGAAAATGTAACGGTGTAACCAAAATTTTGAAGTACTTAAATTTCAAGTACATATCATGTACTGTAAAATACAGGTACCTAAATATTACAATAATTTTAAAGTAACAAAATGGTACTGAATATTAAAAGTAGATTTCCAGTACTATAGATTTTTGGTACATAAATAGTACCTATGCAAAAGTAGCTGTGTATAAGATAATAGCCAAAATTGTTATATAAGAATATGTCTGGTCATTTTGGGTCAAAATACTGTTGTTTATCTGTTTGTCTTTCTTTTTCAGCCATGGCATTGTCAGTTTATTTTCGACTTATGAGTTTGAATGTCCCTATTTTATCTTTCGCCTCTCTTTTAGAACATTTCTGCAACTGTCAGATTTTCTCTATCCATAATGGTAAACGCCTTCTTTATTAACCATTGATTTTATGTTGATAGTCCTAAATATAAAGCTTTACTACAAGTAACACATAAACTTAACATGATCCAAGAAAATGAGGTCAAGGTCAGATACACCAAAAGAGAAATACATGTACACCTTACAATCATTCAATAAACCAAACATAGTTGACCTATTGCTTATAGTTTCTAAGAAACAGTCTTAACCAAGAAAACTTAACATTGACCAATGAACCATGAAAATGAGGTCAAGGTCAGATCAACCACGCCAGACAGACATGTACACCTTACAATCAATTTATGTATTAAATAAAGTTGACCTATTGCTTATAGTATCTAAGAAACAAACTTAACCATGAAAACTTAACATTGACCAAAGAACCATGAAAATGAGGTCAAGGTCAGATGATACCTGCCAGACAGACATATACACCTTACAATCCTTCCATACAACAAATATAGTTGATCTATTGCTTATAGTTGAAGAAAAACAGACCAAAACACAACAAGAGTGCACACGCTGAAATGTCTCGCCTTCTTTACTAATCATTGATATTATGTTAATAGTCCTAAATATAAAGCTTTATTACAACTGTCACATAAACTTAACATTAAGCAAGTAAACTAAACATTGACCAATGAACCATGAAAATGAGGTCAAGGTCAGATGAACCATGCTAGGCAGGCATTACAGCTAACAATTCTTCCATACAACAAATATAGTTGACCTATTGCTTATAGTTTAAGAAAAACAGACCAAAACACAAAAACTTAACACTGAGCAATGAACCTTGAAAATGAGGTCAAGGTCAAATAAAACCTGTGTGACTGACATATAGATCATAAAATATTTCCATACACCAAATATAGTTGAACTATTGCATATAGTATTAGAAAAAAAAGACCCAAAACTCAAAAACTTAACTTTGACCACTGAACCATGAAAATGAGGTCAAGGTCAGATGACACCTGCCAGCTAGACATGTACACCTTACAGTCCTTTCATACACCAAATATCGTAGACCTATTGCATACAGTATAAGAAAAACAGACCAAAACACAAAAACTTAACTATAACCACTGAACCATGAAAATGAGGTCAAGGTCAGATGACACCTGCCAGTTGGACATGTACACCTTACAGTCCTTCCATACACCAAATATAGTAGACCTATTGCATACAGTATAAGAAAAATTCGTAAGGGTTCTGCGGAACCCAGTGCCTCGCCTACTTTTTCTGTTAATCACAGGCTCAACAAAAATGAGGAAGTAAATCAATAAAAATATTCCTCTTGATACTATCTTTTGATTGTAAGAAGCTTCTGTCCAAGTTTGGTAAAAATCCAGGATAGTTTATGAATCTAATAAATGTTTAAAAACTTTAACTGCAGACTGAATGTAATGTTGACTGGAAGAAAACAAAATTTCCTTCTAGATACTAGCATTTGATCATAAACAAGCTTCTGTCCAAGTTTGGTACAAATCCAAAATAGTATAAGAAAGTTATTAAAATTTTAAAAACTTTAACCACAGAGTGAATGTGTTGTTTCCTGGCAGAAAATCTAAGTCCATTTAAAAGTAAAATACGGAAAAAATGGATTTATTTTTTTACAAAATTTCCTTCTAGATACTAGCTTTTGATCATAAACAAGCTTCTGTCCAAGTTTGGTACAAATCCAAAATAGTATAAGAAAGTTATTAAAATTTTAAAAACTTTAACCACAGAGTGAATGTGTTGTTTCCTGGCAGAAAATCTAAGTCCATTTAAAAGTAAAATAAGGAAAAAATGGAATTTTTTTTTTTTACAAAATTTACTTCTGGATACTATCTTATGATCATAAACAAGCTTCTGTCCAAGTTTGGTAGAAACCCAGGATAGTTTAAGAAAGTTATTAAAATTTTAAAAACTTTAACCACAGAGTGAATGTAATATTTCTCGGCAGAAAAACTAAGTCCATTTATAAGTAAAATACGGAAAAAATGGAATTTTATTTTTACAAAATTTACTTCTGGGTACTATCTTATGATCATAAACAAGCTTCTGTCCAAGTTTGGTAGAAATCCAGGATAGTTTAAGAAAGTTATTAAAATTTCAAAAACTTTAACCACAGAGTGAATATTTGTGGACGCCGCCGACAACAACGACGACGACGACGACGACGACGCCGACGACGCCGACGGAATGTAGGATCGCTATGTCTCGCTTTTTCGACTAAAGTCGAAGGCTCGACAAAAACAGACCAAAACACAAAAACTTAACTATAACCACTGAACCATGAAAATGAGGTCAAGGTCAGATGACACCTGCCAGTTGGACATGTACACCTTACAGTCCTTCCATAAACCGAATATACTAGACCTATTGCTTATAGTATCTGAGATATGGACTTGACCACCAAAACTTAACCTTGTTCACTGATCCATGAAATGAGGTCGAGGTCAAGTGAAAACTGTCTGACGGGCATGAGGACCTTGCAAGGTACGCACATACCAAATATAGTTATCCTATTACTTATAATAAGAGAGAATTTAACATTACAAAAAATCTTAACTTTTTTTTCAAGTTGTCACTGAACCATGAAAATGAGGTCAAGGACATTGGACATGTGATTGACGGAAACTTCGTAACATGAGGCATCCATATACAAAGTATGAAGCATCCAGACCTTCCACCTTCTAAAATATAAAGCTTTTAAGAAGTTAGCTAACGCCGCCGCCGGATCACTATCCCTATGTCGAGCTTTCTGCGACAAAAGTCGCAGGCTCGACAAAAACTATACACTGAGAAATGAACTGTGAAAATGAGGTCAAGGTCAAATAAAACCTGTGAAACTGACATGTACATCATAAAATATTTCCATGCACTAAATATAGTTGACCTATTGCATATAGTATTAGAAAAAAAGACCAAAACACAAAAACTTAACTTTGACCACTGAACCATGAAAATGAGGTCAAGGTCAGATGACACCTACCAGTTGAACATGTACACCTTACAATCATTCTATATACCAAATATAGTGGACCTACTGCTTATAGTATCTGATATATGGACCTGACCACGAAAACTTAACCTTGTTCACTGAACCATGAAATGAGGTTGAATAAATGAGATGGGCATGAGGACCTTGCAAGGTTCGCACATCCTAAATATAGTTATCCTATTACTCATAATAAGAAAGAAATTATCATTACAAAAAATGTTGACTTTTTTTTCAAGTAGTAACTGAACCATGAAAATGAGGTCAAGGACAATGGACATATGACAGACGGAAACTTCGTAACATAAGGCATCTATATACAAAGTATGAAGCATCCAGGTCTTCTAGCTTCTAAAATATAAAGCTTTTAAGAAGTTAGCTAACGCCGCCGCCGCCTGATCACTATCCCTATGTCGAGCTTTTGTCGCAGGCTCGACAAAAACTAGATACCCCTAGTATGATTGTGATTAAGTTTGGTTCCATTTGGTCAGTGGTTTCGGTGGAGAAAATTTTTGAAACAGTTAACAGACGATGACAGATGCCAAGTGATGTGAAAAGCTCACATGGCTCTTTAGGCCAGGTGAGCTAATGGAACAAGAATACTATACTGCAAATACTGTGAAATATTGAATCTTTATAAATAACAACACTATAGTTAAGTAAAATACTTTAATTTGAGCATTTTTAATATGTTTCAAATAATAACATGATTCTTATTAAATAACAGAAATATTAAATATAATTAGTGTGGAGTGACATCTACATTCATGCATATATGTAATGTATAATTTGTTTGACATCTAAATGGTGTTTACAACCTAATGTAAGCATGCAAAATTTGAAAAAGCTACTTTATGGTAATTCCTAACATTAAGGCTTATTGAAGATTTTTAAAATACTGACCAATTTACCATTTACCTGCATGGAGTGGTGAATGTGACATTTGTGTATAATATTCCTGTAAATCTTAATTTACTTGAGAGGGGTTGACTGTATATAAGTATTTGTCAAGCTGATTTGTATATTGTGTTAGTTAGTAATTAGTCATAACACAATTTCCCTAACAATTACTAAAGATATGGACTGAGCCCTAATAGGAGTTAATAAAGAATTCTGCCGCTATAAAAGATACTGTGAATTTATTTTATATTTGTGAGAACCAATTTTCGTGGATTGAGAAATATTTGTATTTTCTAGGATATTTATATTCATTCTTTTGCCAAAGCTAGCATATCACTCTACGCAAAAATTGTACTTCTTTGAACATTTAGATTCAAGGTTTATCTTTACCCATGAAATCTACGAAAATTGGTATCGCACGAATAATAATGAATCCACTGTAATTTAGAATGTTTGATGTACTATTCCCTTAAATCGATTACACTTTTTTACACTGTTTTCATGTTTAATGTTTAATTATTATGATTTCATAGTAATCAATGCTATCAAAATTTAAAATGCAAGTTTTTATATTTGCAAAACCTATCCCATCCCAATAAAAAAGCTTCTAAACAATTTCTAAGTTTACAGTATTAAAAAATTGCTGTGTGTTTGTTTATTCTACATTGGCTAGAGGTATAGGAGGATTGAGATCTCACAAAACATGTTTAACCCCGCCTCATTTTTGCACCTATCCCAAGTCAGGAGCCTCTGGCCTTTGTTATCTCTTGTATGTTTTTTAATTTTAATTCATTTATATGTTTTGGAGTTTAGAGTGACGTCCATTTTAAATAAAATAGTACACATTTTTATTTAGGAGCCAGCTGAGGCCCCCCTCCGGGTGCGGGATTTTCTCGTTGTGTTGAAGACCCATTGGTGGCCTTCGGCTATTTTCTGCTCTTTGGTCGGGTTGTTGTCTCTTTGACACATTCCCCATTTCCAATTCTATTGGTATTTCAAATGATTTTTTACTTCAGTAAAACTGGTGTGTGAAAGAATATAATTGATTTTCTAATAACATTTGAAAATTAATAAATGATCATTGTAAATGGAAATTACTGACAGATTTTCAAAGTTAGAAGTACCAGACATTCATCCTGTTTTAATCTTTTTACAGATTCCTTGGCTTTCTTCAAAAGTGATTGAAACATTATTTTTCATAGGTCTGACCAATACAAAGGCAAAATAAAATGTTTTATTTATTTCTCTTTCACCAAGCAAAATAATTGATTGATTAATAGTTGGTGTTAACACCACTTTCAGCAAACATGGCTAAAAAATAAGAAATAAATCGAATTCTAAAAGCAAATTAAAGAAAGTCTTTACATAAAACATCATATAAATAAACTATTACCATGAAGATCACAAGACAGCACAAATTGATGACATCACATCTTTGTGCACACAAATAACATTTATAGAGTTTCAATGTTAAATCAGAAATGATTTGCTCCTTTAATGTAATATATCAATGGAAATACTTCATACAATACTGCATATTTTTGTTTAAGACCTGCTTTTTGGGATTTCTGTTTTATTAATGCAATAAGTTGATAATTCCTATGATAATATTGATAATACATTTTGAAAATAAATTTAACGTATATGGCAACCCTGTTACAATACTCACAAAGGCAGTGAAACTAGCATTTTGATGCTACATTTACATCAATTCATTGAGGGCCACTTGCCATACAGCAGCAAATTTAACAAACATATTAAAGAGTTTAACGTATTAATGTTATTTATAATATACCCTAAAAAACTCATATGAAGATTTTTTTTATTTTATGGTAATTTTTCACTATTATTTATATTTTTTGCCCATTATTCTTTATTCTTTAGTATAAGAATGAGGAGATTTGGTATGATTGACAATAAGATAACTATCCACCAGAGTTAAAATAGAGTGGTAGTATGCAATTATAAGCCACTATTCAGCCTTTAACAATGAGAAAAACCCATACCCTATAGTTGGCTATAAAAGGTCCATTTTATGTAGATTTGGCACTTATTATTTCTAAAAAAAAGTATTGAAAGTGTAAAGCACTGTATTAAAATATTTGGTACTATATGTATACTATAAATAGATTATTACACAAATATTAAACAATTTTGTTCCTTGCAGTATATCATATTACACTTGCAATATAATGTTAATATGCTTGGAACAATATTTCTCAACATTAGTCCAATAAAGCTCTAGATAATTTTTCTTATAAACAATAACTTTAAAGTACATGTACGTAATGTTTCGTCAAATCAATTGAAGAATGTATCAATTACTTAAAATACCGCCGTAGAAGAAGATGTCTTTCATCAGAAAATGTCTAATATATGAGTTGCATCGGAAAAAATCGACCTTATTCGAGTGCACATATACATGTACATGTATAAGACTTTGATTGATTTTGGAACATTCAAATATAAAACAAAAGACAAATTTTGGTCTGCTTTGTAGGGTTCTTATATCAACTCAATCTTCAAACAGTTACAGACTTTGCATACTGATTTTTCAACCAACAATAGGTTAACAGATGTATTGATATTCATTTGCTTAAGGTCGATTTATATCCAATGCAGCTCATATATTTAGACAGTGTGAACTATTGCAGATGGATAAAATATACATAATGCAAAAAAATACGATCAATTTATAATATATCTGGATATATGTAAAGCCATTTATAAAAAATAGTTTTGGGAGGTAAGTTGGCATATATTTATGTTTATAAGTTAGGAAGTTACACAATTATTCATAATTTTCTGGATAACTACACAATAATATTGAATCAGTCAAGATGGTAAACATTTCATAATGAACAACCTTAATTTGAGATGGAGCTTGCCTAATCTGTCTTGTGTTTTATTGTTCCACACAGCAAAAGGTATGATAAAATTCATTATTTAGACTTTCGAAACTTGAAAAAAAAAAAGAAATTTTTCAGCCTTAGTAAAAAAACAAGCATGATTATCTAGTCGATTCATTTTAGTGTAAAAAAAGGACAAGTGTGACATCACAGTGATATAAAACAAAATGTCAAAAATGATAAAACAAATGCCACTTAACGTCTGTTTTGGTCAAACTAAATATAGTCATATGCCTTACCAATTTAAGCGGTAAAAAAGGCTTGATCATACCTTCTCCTTCCCTGTAGAGGTGCTTCAACAGTAAATATTTAAAAATATTACCATGAAATGTTTGTAAAAGACAATACAACACCTTTCTAGTTTAAATGTAAAGTTTTCAACTCAAATTTTACAGAAATTAGTGGGTTTTTTTCCAGCTTGTGCTCATCTTGCTGATAAACAGCTAAACAGTTTCTTAAATGGTCTATTTCAGCAGAGATAAAATTGACTGATTACTATAAGAAAAAGCCATTTATAAATGTGGTTTCATTCTATTATCATAATTTTTTTTCTTGTCCCAAAGTCCAATCTTGTAGATAAATTTCGCCATGGGACATTTTTAATATAAATTCGCAAATAAATAAAATAAAAACCCCAAACCTAAATGTCTGCCATAAGGTATAACATGTCAGTTAATCCTGAAAAAAAGGAGAATTTTGGCACAGTAAACATAGTTCTATATAGTGATTAAACACTACAGTTTATGAAGAACTTCATTATGAAGAGAGCAAATGTACATGTTAATTTAATCACATGGAGATTTATGTAAAACCTGTGTAAAGTGAAAAAATGCTTTACTGTAAATTGGTTTATTTTTATAGGACCAAACCCATTCAATAGGATTAATTTTCATGTTTTTTCTAAGTTCTTTATTCTGATCTTAGTTTAGATCAAATTTACATGAGGAGATATTTCCACAATTTTATCGAAAGCCGTAAAAAATAAAACTGCTCCCCACTTAACTATAATTGAATTCTTGAAATAGGGAATATTCATTAATAAGTTTACCTGTCTTAAACAAACACCTGTCTAATCCAAACAAAATATTAAGTCCTCAGTGGGCCAAGTTAACACAGGTTTCAATAGAAATAAATATGTGGTATGATTGACGATGAGACTTTATTCAACAGAGTCCAAATGACTTTATATTATACTGATCTTAAAAAAAAGAAATATTTACAGAGGGAGAAAAAGAAAAACCTATACTTATCGACACTTTCAATGTAATTCTAGTGAGGGTGTTTTCTTAAAAACACAGTATATGCTCATAACACCAAATATAAATCGTAAAAATATTTAATTAAGTGCAATAATATAACAAACAAAAACAATGACATCAACTATACAAAAACAAAGCTACATGAAACATGGATATTGCACTTTTCCTCTAATAATGTATATTAACTCACCATGTTAAACTTAGTGATAAAATGATAGGCTTAGGTATGTATCAATAGTTGTTACATAATTCATTCGGACAGTAGACATTTTTGATTCATTAAATTTCTGTCCCTATCCAAATTACCCCATTTTCGAGTGGCAGTCCAAATTTCCCACCCTTTGTCCATGTTGATCCCTATTACAGGACCTATCTATGCTATTAACACTGTAATGTTCAGATACTAACAATCAATATATCAATTTCAATTTCCCCATCAGTGCTATCAAGATTGATGCTAAAGCTTCTTCAAAATGAATAAAAAAAAATGTAAAGTAAAGTAAATAAGACTGCAACCGAACAGCACACACACAACAATGGTGTAGTACTGTTGTAGAGTGAAAATAAGGAGTACTAAAAACTTCTGAAAGTGAAAAAAAAAAGAATGTGTCCATAGTACATGGATGCCCACTCACGCTATCATTTTCAATGTTCAATGGACCATGAAATTGGGGTCAAAATTCTAATTTGGCACTAAAATTAGAAAGATCATATCATAGGGAACATGTGTACTAAGTTTCAAATTGATTGGACTTCAACTTCATCAAAAACTACATTGACCAAAAACTTTAACCTGAAGCAGGACAGACGGACGAACAAAAGAACGAAAGAAAGAACAGACCAAAAAAACAAAATGCCTCTCTACTATCGTAGGTGGGGGCATAAAAAACTTTTCTATAAACAAATAGTCTAGAAGTAAGTCAGTGTCTTTTTCATTTTCATTTTATATGTTCAATAACTTGTCCTTGGGAAAAAGTAATATAGGACATAGGTGTTAATCTGCAAAATTATGATGTGAGACCTCTCCCTTTGAAGAAATTGCCAATGGGAAATTGGACAAAGAATAGTTTTGCATTTTTTTCTGTGACATGAATACACATAACATGGTTTCACATTATTTTGAAAAAAAATCAAGAAAACTTAAATGCTCTTTGGAATGTTTATAAGAAAAAATATAATAAAACAATAGGGAATGGAATGATATAATCTAGAAAAAAGTACATGTGGAAAATACTACAGATACAAATAGATAAATAAATGCACTATATCTATTACTGTTACAAATTATGAAAGTATGAAAACTACGATAACAATAATTTGCGAAAAGATGTTCTATTTCTAACATGTGCGGGAATTGCATTGATTAATCTGACATTATTAATTCAAAAATAGCAATTCTTCAAGGAAAATGTCACATTGTGTGTCACCTAACAGCTGCTAATAATATATAAGCAGAATGGGCAAATTCCCATGTTTTGGTATAGGGAAACCCACAAAAATACACTCTGACCAAAAATAAAAATATGGGTACTAAACTTAATGCCCTGTAAAAGAATTTGGGCAAGATTGGGAAGATTCTGTCAAGCCTTTTAAAAGGGTTGCAGTTGAGCACTGACAAGGAAGATGGTGATGCAAGAAGACAAAAATGTGTCACTACTATGGAGTCTTAATGACCTTGACTACCCATGAGGGTCTGGCAAGGTCACTAAAGCTTTGACATAAGCCTCACAATAATACGCACAAAATTTTCAAATTTTAACAATAATTTACATAAAAATATGAAAAAAACAACTTAATGCATATCTTTGACAAACATCTTACATTATTTCACATCAGTTAAATTTAGGCTCAACCCATAAAATATATGAAACAATGCATGGTGAGTGTATAAAATGGGCACATACATCTAAATTCCAGGTATGAAGGTCTGATATATATATAATCCTTATCCATCCATAAATAATACATATTGTTATTATTTATTGGTTAATACTCGATCAACAAATTATTTAAATCTTATATTTGGACACAATAATATACCAGTGAACAAAAATCCACTTCAAATATTATGCAAAACAAAACCCTACGTAGAAAAATAACATACTAAACTACACTTCACGCCTTATGTGATGTATGGCACAATGGGAGTTGTAATAATAAGTTGCAAATTTCACTAAAATCACAGTTTAAAAGTAATCTCATTAAAAGGCAAACTGTCATGGAGAGCAAACAAAAGCAGCATCACATATATAAAGGAAATAATATGACAAGGTTAGAATGTATTTTTTTTAAGGTCTTACAGCTAATTTTTTTGAGTGCCTATTTAGAACAGCAAATTGTATGCTGTTACAGCTACTTTTCTTACGTGTGTATAAAAGACAAGCAAAGTAAACCTTTATTGTATTGTAAATTAAACTCCGTTTGGTGAATTAACGCCTGAGTGAATCATTTCGATAGAGTCCCTGAAGTGGATACCTTGGTATGCAGGGTTGTCAAATTATGCAAATGAATGCAACATTTAAATAATACTCAAAATGCAAATTGCAGACCATTTGAAGTGTTGTTGTCAGTTTTGAGTATTATTTATTGTATTGTGTACACACTCATTCAGTTCAGGTATAATGGGTGTAACTATATATGTGATAAATTGAAAAAGTTGCTTGCATCCAGATCAGTTATTGAATAAAAGTATGTTTAGATTAATTATCTGAAGATGCAGATCCCTAAAGGCAATTTTGATTATTTGAAATGTGGCTGTTTTCTTTTATAAGACTCTTAAGCTTGGTGTTGATGCTTGAAATCATGTTTTGCTAAAAAGAGGGTGGGAATGGGTACCCCAGATGAAGGTGAATACTGTAAATTCAGAAATTATTGCGTGCATTTAGTATTGCTATTTTTCAAGAATGAACAAAAATGCGAGTTTAATTATTGTGATTTTAGGAAAAGCTTTGTACAGACATACATAACAGATATCAGAATGCAAGTTTTCATTATTGCGATACTCAAGGTGTCACATTATTCGCATTAATAAAAACCTCGCAATAATTTCTGAATTGACAGTAGTAAATCTAAATAGCTTGAGAAACAAAAAAGTCCTTCTGATTTTTTTGGTTTGCATTATTGGGTTTGAAATAAGTCATTACAAACCCCTGCACATATTTTCCAAGCAAAAGCATAAAAGCTACAAACAATATGCTACAATAAATAACAAAATTGGGACTTTTTCAAATTTGTCATGAGACATCAATGTCTAACAAACAAGCCATTTCATCAATCAATTTTATACCAGTATCAAAGAAAATATCTAAATGCAAATTTAAAAATATGCAAACAAAAATAAATGTACCAGATAGAACAATTATTATTAGAATTTGCAAACATTAATTGACCTTTAAGCACTAGTTATTCTGTATTGTTGTTTTAAGCTAGTCAGAGTTATTCTTGTAAATATACACTAAAAAATCATACAATCACAGCCAGTTATCAATACATATTTTTGGAAGACACAAATACATAACAAACATTACTTTTCCCATTTTAACAGTGAACACAAATGGTTTTTGCAACTTTACTCTTTTTTTTCTCTGACACATGACAACAACATAGATATCACATTTATTTAGTTGCAATGTACATATGTAAGCATTTGGAGCATGTTTTAATGACATCAAATGAGATAATGCTACTCTTCTTCATTTTGATTGACGTTCATTGGCTAAATCTTATTTCTTCTGTCATTTCATTGGCTAAATCTTAAATCTTCTGTAATTTCATTGGTTAAATCTTAAATCATCTGTAATTTCATTGGAATAATCTTCAATCATTTCATTGACTTGAGATTACTGGCTGCTAAATGACCCGTTCTTTCATTTCATTGGATGAAGATAATTGGCAGGTGCATAACCTTTGACTCCATCAGCATCCACATACCACCATTCAGTATTGTTCTCCTGGTCATGTTTAATCAATACTGTTACCACCTGGCCTTCAAACATAGATATTTCATTGCTGTTTCTAGCTTCAAATGGGAAAGCTGCATAGTAAAACTGAAAATGGAAACCAGTCATGAACAGCAAGTTCTTTCAAATTGTCAATTCATGCTTTTTCTCCAATTCTTTATTTATTTTATGTTTTATTTTTTAATGAGAGTGACCTAATTGGTGAACCGAAAATTTTAAATTGAAACACATGGATTAAGGTTTTTGCTTTCTATTTTTAGTTTCTTAATCTTATATACACAGGAAAAGTCAAAATAAGGGTTTGAAATAGTTTTGATTAATTCAATGACTTTAAGTCTTGTTTCAAACTTCAAAACTTTATATTGATATGTGATTGTAATTTAAAAATATTTTGTGTTTTTTTTAACACCTTGTTGGTCTAGTCATCCTAAAAGTGCATTTAATTTGCCATTGGAGGTTAAACATCCATCAATCATTTTTTTGGGCTAGATTCTAACAGTTAAGACACCATTTTGTTCATTTAAAACCTATTTCACATAACTCAATGTCATAAAGCTACACTATTAATACCTCTTCTGATGATATGTTTGGACTCATATCTTCATCTAAAGCAAAATCTAACTCATCCTCCTCTTCAATTTGATTGGATAAATTTTGTTCAATGGAATAGTCTGATACAGATATTTGTGGAGATGACAGTTGAGGTTTCTGACCAATCACATCACTTGTTTCATCTGTTGCTAAAACAGGAGTCTGATCCATGGATGGGTATACACTCTGAGATGAAGGTGTGGTTACCTGGCTATGAAGTTTTAATAATGTTTTTGGAACAAAACCTTTTGCAGCTGAAAATAAAATAATACAAATTTAGCTCAAAAATAAAATAACACAAATTTTGTAATCAAAGGAACAAAGGAAGATATATGTATTTTTTTACAATGTCGTTCATAATCCTTCTTCTCTTTTTAACCAAAATAAAAGGAAAATCTAAACATTTCTGAGCCAGTTCCTATTGTTTTATATACCTTTATCATTCCACTGATAAAGACTGAATTGGAAAGTGTGAGCACTCATTCAATAAAGTTTTCACTGCCCTGAATTAATGAGGGTCTGGATAAGAGGTCCGTCATTCTTTGATCCTTAATTCTTTGGATATTTTCTCTTATCCTTTTTTTTTGGCTCATTATTCTCTATTGTTTATTTTTTTGCCTATTTATCTATATTTTTTGCCTATTTATCTATATTTTTTGCCTTCTCTTCTGCATTTTTGTTTATTAATTCTATTCTTGAAAACCCCACCATGGCCCTCATTCACGTGCCTGTCCCAAAATGTCCCAGTCAAGCACCTTGTCAATGGTTGTCTACAGTTGTTTAATGCTTTTTGTCCTTCAAGTTATTTACTGTTGATGACAAAGTTTGCATAACCTTCTACAGTCGACTCTCGTTATCTCTAAGTCAGCCGGACCAGAACAATAATTCGAGATACATGTAGTTCGACTCAAACGAAAACCGAAGTTTGACAGACCAAGGGACACAACTCTTGCTTAGCTTGGTAAGGCTAAAATTAATCATGATGAATATGGGAAAGGGATCGATACTCTGGTCTCAGATCGATGTATTCGCATGTCTTTCATTATTATAATAACATTGTTTTCACTTATTTAATTATTTTTTTGAACATTTACAATTTTTCCCTATTGCTTTTAACCGAGAGTAATTTCCAATTGATCTAAGCGTTATTTAAGTCATCTAAAGTTGACAAAGTTGTTTATTCTCGGATACAAGAGATGTAAGAAAATTTTGATTTCTTTTCGTTTTCTTTTATCTCAATCTTTCCTTTCAAAAGAAAATACAAAAAGATTAAAGAAGCCGATTGAGTAGTTTTTAGGTGATTACCAACGGAAGTCTTAATCCCCACTTTATACACATCTAAGCTCATCAGTGTCAATCACGATTAATTGTTTTTGTAAACATTTAAGATAATTTAACTTTAACAATGTATCACTAATTATTTATCAAGGTGATAAACGATAATCTTAGGTAAACACTCGTGGAAATGGCATGTCATAAATCAGTAGTCAGTGACCGGAAATCTAAATACACGTGTATTGTCAGATTAACTCTTCAATCCATTTAAATCCCGGAGGTCATGTTTTGACATATGTGTATAAGTTCGAGATAAATAATGAATTTGGAATGCTTTTGTTAACCTTGGGATCATAAATTTAGTTCGACTCAACCACGACCACGAGAAAACTTCGACTCATCTGAAATTTTTAGTCAACCGAGTTTAAGACAACGAGAGTTAACTGTATTAATTTTTTTCATAACTTGTCTTCATTTCTGTCAATTTAAAGCTTGACACACTATGAAGACAACAGTATATTGGCAGTAGTTTGACCTTTAGATGTTTTCAGTTCTTTTTTTCATGTCTTCAGGTTACTGCCTCAATATCACATACTCTAACATCTCTGTTCTACTAGTGTAAAAGTCATGTCCATAATGTGAAAATGGGTACAATTTTTGTGGATTGAAGAAAATGGTACTTTAGTGGATACTTGATTTTATTATACTTCATGTCAAAATGCCAGATTTTGATTGGTTGATACGAGGGAGACAATTTACTCTATCCCATGGCATATACTCTATTACCCTTCACGGAGACGCTTGCTCAGGTGTGCACTTTAATAAATACGGATGATTTCTATGTACAAGACGTCATAGTTTATTGCTTTGAATTTGAAATATATTGACAGTAATAACAGAACATTCAGTATAATAAATTAAATAACACATATCTGAGAGGGTGAAAGAGCAGATTGTTATCCCTCGAAAAGACATTGTCAACCTTGGCTTTGCCTCAGTAGTCAATGTTTTCTCGTGGTGACAATCTGCTCTATCACCCTCTCAGCTATGTGTTATTTATATATTGTGAGTTTGCTAAGGTAGGCATAGAATCCAATAGAAAAATTACACTTCATTGCACATTACATTTTGTTGTAATTTTTACCCATGAAATCCCAAAAATTGGCGACCATGAAAAATAAAGAATCCTCAGTACGATGTTTTATCTTAATCTTGTATTTAAATGTTGAAATTTCTTAATGGGCTTTTTAAAATAAAAAATACATAGTCATTCATATATTACAGAAAATACAGACCACCATTATCAATAAACCATCGATCTTTATTGCCCATTGGATCTTTATCCATTACCATCCCAACACAGTCTCCCTCGGCTACAGAAAGGTCCATTAGATCAGTGGCCGTGTATGTGGTGGTCACATGGTACAGTTTGTCTGCTGGGTATTTCTGTTGTACAAACACTCGCTGACTATCACTTTGTGCAGTACATGAAACCTTGAAAATTTTTCAGAATATCTAATCAAAATACTTGTGAACTTAAAATTAAAATTAAACATTGAGTTGCAATATAGCACATTTAGAAAAATATTTGATTTGAAGTTATCTTTTCTTGTCTGTATTTGTAGTTGAACTTCAACTTTTTTTTAAGGAACAGACAAATTCTTTTGCCATGCACAAATTAGGTAATTTCAAATGAATTGTTTTCCATTTTTTTTCCCACTTTTGTTTCTTTTAATCAACCATGGTGAATACTGATGTGACCAAAAAATATATAATCCATTGAAACAATGCTCCTTGCACATTTTGTCATTAGAATATTAAACAAGCATCTTAACAACAATCATATTGACTTTGACTTAAATGGCTTGATATAAGTCTTCTTTTGGATTACTTCCTTGTTCAGCGTATTTTTGACACCTCTAACCAAGTCTTTTATACCTTACATGCATGTGACAATAATACTAATACTATATACTCTGGTATCAATCCTAATCTAGCAATGTGAAAAGTAGATACATCAAATCGCTAATGAAAAAGTACTAATAATAATGATATATATTATTTTCAATTATTTTTAGACTCAAGAATATTTTTGTCATTGCATCCAGATATATTTTCTAATGAACAGAGAAGTTTATTAATTCTAATAAACATGATAAAATTTGATAGAACTCTGAATATCACTGTATTTTCGTTTAGTATTTACAAGACTGTACATATTTTTGAAAATTCCATTCAAAGTAATCATGCACCTTTTTTAACCCTTAAGCTATTGAACCTATTTTAGAGAAATAAGATGGCCAATCATGTTACTAAATCATTACATAATGAGTGAAAGATTACACAATCTCTGAAACAGATTCAATTGTAATAAAAATAATGGAAGAAAATGATAATTGTACAATGCAAACTAATAGCTGTTGAACACGAGCCTTGTAAATTTGATGAGAAATGACAAGCCTCAGTTTCAGAGATTTGTGATTACTTGCGAGCTTACAGGTGAAGGCAGTAAAGAAGTAGTGTCCATTGACATCCGTTTAGATTTCTTGTCTGTTGCTTTTCCTACCACTGGTTTTCCCAATGTTTCCATCTTCGGGTTAAAGCCCTTCGGTATTATGCGTAGTAAAGACATTTTGTCGATCATGGCCACGTGGTGGATGTTAAAGCTGTCAACGACAGTACCTTCTGTTTGTAGTAGCAGTGGCATCTAAAATAATAAAATAGTGCAAATTAGTCATATTATCCCTGTGCATGTAACAAAGCCGTTTAAACTAGCCTTGGTGAGTGTGGCGTCTGTTTGTTTGTAAGGGGTGTAAACAAATTGAAACTTCTGATCTTTAAGGGGAAATTTACCCAAAGATAATTTGATACTCTGAGACTGGATAAAAATCAATACATAGCATTCTTAAGTTCAGAGTTTGACCGTGCACAGACTTCCAGTACAGCAGTAAAGACTAGGCTGTAATAAATCTCTCCTTCTTCATTTTTCCTAAGTGACAAACTTAAAGCTATCTAAAGATCTTCCAAATTAAAACATCATCTAGACAAGGTTACAACTGAAAAACAAGTTAATGTTCTAATAAGCTGATACAAAAACCACATGTTCACAATGAAATAGTATTAAGTAATATTTAACTAGAATATGTATGCCTTGTCATGCTAGGCATACCCACTCCCAGAATTCCATGTATTGGAACACAGGAATTACATGTCTGACAGATCTGAAAAGCAACTCATTACTATCAAGCTTCTAACTAAATATTAAGTCATTCTTTTCAATAGTATTTGAGAAAAATCTGACGAAAAATTCAAAGGTCATTCAACTGATAGAAAAGTTCTAAGTTTTGGCAAACAAAAGGAAGTTGTCTGATTGATCTGAAAAGTGCTCATATCTTACAAGCCATCACTGTCAAGCTGCTAACCAGATATAGAGTCATTTTGTTCAGTAGTACTTGATAAAATTGTGACCACAAATTTTAAATTCATTCAACACATTGAAAAATTCAAAATATCGACAAAAAGGAAGTAGCTATCCGACTGAACCCTAATTCATTAAACGTATCACTGTCATACAGTTGACCAAATATGAAGTCATTCTGTTCAGTCATGTCAAAAGTACCTGAGGAAAGTGTAACAAAAATGTTTCTTGGACTTTGTTGGAAGGACAGGTGACAAGATGAATACAATATAGCCTTCACTCCTAGAGTTAATTATAATAATATTCTGGTAGTCCCAATTCCAAAGTCGTTTACTTTTATCTGTATTACCAAAATGAGGCATATGTGACCTCAGATAAATTTATCTAATATTATTTCCTCATTCTTTTGCTACTTAAAAGCTCATGACTGACAGCTTGCAGCTACTATACCTTTTCATATTTGAAACCAATTTGAAGAATGTATATACAAGTAAACTTGCAAGCCATAAATGAATTTCAGTTACAAAATTAGCAAATGACATTAAAAATTTCCCTGAGAAACTCCAAAAATATATTTCTAAGTGTAATCAATATGTCTTCTTATTTTTCAAAAGGCAATAATATAATGTAGTAATCAAGGATTTATGGGTGGAAATTTGTGATTAATTTTCAAATGAAATAGTTGAATGACATATGCAATACAAAAAACTGGTAATGGCTGAAAGGAACAGAAAATGTAGCTGCATATGAAAATATAATGAAGATATGAAACTGACAACAACGTATGTATTTACGACAGTGAATTATGAAGATCAATGAAGATGTAGAGAGTGCTCAAGAAAGAAATTTAGTAGATCTAGCTCTAGGTTTTACCTTTGCATTATACTAAAATGAAAATCAAATAAATATAAATGAATTATATTATAACTTTGATAAAATCAGGATAACTGAATGACATAAATTTCAAATTTCAACTAATTAAATGTATTGTTGAGTGGTCATGTGCTCATAATCAACCAATCAGAACTGCTATTCTATGGTCAGGTGTCATTTTTAGAAATTGACTGAAACAAAACATTACCCTATATCGCGACTTTTGGTCTTTGATATTTTACAATGAAATTATTTTTCCTGTCAGAGTGAACATTTTACTGTTCATTTGAATGCATTGATCAAGGCTATGACATGCTTTTGTGTCATGGATGGATACCCCATATCCTTTGTTTTTTCTATTATATAATGAACACTGCAAATATCTAAATGCTCCTTCTAAGGTCAAATCTTCTAATAAATCCAAGAAACGAAAATAGTCTGATATAGCTATATCATAATATTAAAGGCATTACCAGTATATCAAGCTGTTTTGAAAATTTTGGTAATCTGTGAAAATTTACAGAGACGGTTCTTTTTTGTTTTATGTGTCTTTAAGTTACTTTCGCAGTAAAGTCTAACCAATTTCTCATTTCATTCATATGCAGAATTATTCTGTTATTTCATCACCCAACATTTATAATCCTAATGTTGTTCTGAATAAAAGGACCAACACAATCTTCAATGAAAGACAAGTGCCTATACAATTAATGTGTCATGCTCCAAATTTTCCCAGGTTAATCTATTTGAAATCCATTTACAGAAACTTACATCTATAATTTCTGTCATACTGTCCATTATACTGGTATTAAACTGTCTTTGAGCCCTGATAAAAGTACTTATACAATCCTTCAGCAGTTTGAATGACAGACTGTACATCTTTGGCAGTTCATCCAGGAGCTGTGCATTCAAAGCTTCGTAGGTACTCTTAGCTGCCTGAAGAGATTTCTCTGATCCCTGCAAAGAAATTTAATAATGAGACAAAATATTGACTATAAAAAAAATCTGTGACGAACCTACTCAAAATGAAGTATAAATACTTTTAACAATAGGAAAATATTAGTGGATCACCTCATTTGTTTTTGCTAAGTAATTTAAGTATGAGTGATGTATGAAAAAAACATGAAAAATATTAATTTGCAATGTAATCAATGCTGTCACCACATTGCAATTATTTTATAGTTCTGACCTTTTATTCACACTACATATTGAGACTAATTGATGTGTGCACAAAAAATTTACTTCCCAGTTCTAGATGCATACAAAATTTCATTTTTTCCTGAAATGTTGTGGATTTTTCTCCATACTCAGACTTCCTCAACCAATAAAAACTGACTGCCATGCATGATACAGTCAAGGGCTCTTAAAGTGGCATTTAACACCAAAGAACAAAACAAACATTGAGTACCTGTCAATCAATTATGGACAAGATCTTTTGTACTTTTGAATTCTTTCTTTTCTTAATGCAATAAGTAAACTTTCAATGAAACTTTTTTACAAGTTATTAAAAGATTATGTACTGAAACTAAATAAGTGTAGTATAAATTTCAACATAGTTAAATGTTTCATAATCAGTGATCTTTAATCAGAAGATGAACTATCTGTGATATATTTATGCTGCTTTTACTAATCTATACATATACCAACCTTTTCCTCTTTCCTTTGCATGGAATCGTAATCTAAAAGTTTATCAAATCTTTTCTGTATCACTTTATTTGGACCATTAAAGAATACCATTAGTTTGCTGAGTGGAACTACAACAATATCTGCCACTGTGGAAGTCTGAAATATTTTTCTCAAATATTAGCATGTTACCATGGTTACAGCATAATGGCTATTCCATTAAAATGTATGTATGAGGGTAGGAAGGGACTTTCAAAATATCCCTACAGCCAAAAACCATTTTTTAGATAATTTTGCATAATGGTAATAGACGCATACTGAAAAAAGACCCATGACCCACATTCAATAATTAAACTTCCCTTCCTACCCTCCCACATACATTTTAATGGAATAGCCCTAATGCATAAATGGGTTAACCAACTATTTTGCATGTTATCTAAAAAAAGTTATAAACTGATATATAAAATTAATAAGATTTTAAAATAATAATAATTCAATCATGTAGAAATTTTTCTGAAAGGTAAAAGACATTTATCCTTATTTTGATTGCCAAAAAAATATATAGAATTTGGGATATAAGTATTTAAACATTGAAACAAGTGCTACATACTTGGAACGGGCAAACAGAAAAGCAGGAGTGTCAAAACCTGTAGAATTGTAAAGAAATGACAAACATTTTAGGATCAAACAGTCCTTTTCAATATGTAACATGCTCCGTATTTATATACAAATATCAATAAATAATTATTCTTCAAAGGTTATAAAATATTTGCTACCTGACCAACTTAAAAGATTCTTTTGTCATATTCATGAGGGTCTGGATGGAAGGTCCTTCATTTCTTTATTTTTTAACTTTGAAGTCCATTTTTCTCTACTTTATATTCATTTTGACCTTTACTCTCTCTTTTTATTTCAGCACACCATTCTTCTCTCTTCTGTATATTTTTGGCCTATTTTTATCTATTCAATATATTTTTAACCCTTTATTCTGCGCTTTTTACCCATTGTTCTCTTTTCTGTAACCCCATTCAGACCCTCATGATAGGAAGAATTTACTTACAAACTCAGGAAGGTATTTATCCTGAATAATTTGGAAGAGTCTTTGGTATTTCTTCACATCAGGACAAGGTTTCTCGTCATAGAAATCTACTAGATCTATCACTAAGCCTTCATGACAACTATATGATTCCTGAAATGCATAAATTTTCAAATCATTCAATGAATGAAATTAATAAGTCCAATTCTTAAACTTTATTGTGATGGTATTGACCCAAAGTTTGTGTACACAAGAAATTTTCAAAACAAATGGAGAATGTTTATGTGTAATACCACCAAATCATAGTACGTCACATCCGGTTGCATACGAATATAGGTCGAAAAAAAATATCCCCTTGAATTTGACAGTTGAAGGTAATTGATCCTACATTTCATTGCAGTAAAACATTTCTGGGTCATAAACATATATCTTGGGTATTTCAAAGCACCATTATTTTTTTATTTGGGGTTTCTATAGAATATTTTGGAAACTTGAGGTTACATGGTTACAAAAGCTTGTACACAGGTTAAAAAAGGGGGAAAATTTGATTGGTTAACTTCCAGTGATGGTTATTTTCTTATATGCAATGAAATGTTATGTGAAATTTTTTCTATAGTACTGGACAGGAAAAAACTTTACTCATGCAAAGTATTTCTTTATTTGAAACAAAGATAAATTCTGCACAATTTTATGAAAAGTGCAAATTTAACAAAGACTAATAGGGTAAAATCAATGGTGGTATTACACCTAATATGGGAAGCTGTACATGCACCTTTGACCTTGTGAGTACTCTCATGTGTTAAAATTTCTTGCTATTTAAGTGAAATATTACAAATAATGAAATATTCTGAGTGGATTGAGTCTCCAAAACACATTTTATGAGAAAATGTCCTTAAATAGGACTTTACCCTGAATATTAGTTGACAGAACAAGCCAAACTTAGAGTTTTGGGGAGCTTTTTCTCTTTATTTCTTATATTCTGCTATACTAGAAAATTTTTCTTAAGAAATACTTTAAAAACTATATAGTTTTAAGTAAATGAAATTATTTTTAAAGCTGTAACAACAAATTATTCACCAAAAGAGAAGCTTTTTATGTCCCTCTCTGGAACGCGGCGTAAATTTAAGTTTTACGTAAGGAGTTATTGAAACCTCCTTGGAGACAGTAAACTTTTATACGGATAGTTCATTCGACTTGAATACTTCAATTAATCATTTATTATAACATTTCTATCATAAATGAGCGAAAGTTACCCCAAAAATTTTATTTATTGGCCTAAAAAGTAGAAATTTTGAGGAAATGAGAGGTATAAATGGACCAAAAGAGACCTTATAAGGAAGACAAAGAAGTCCATTAGTAGTATTTATCATCCTAAAGTCATCTTTTGTATCATATTCAACTGTTTGTAGGCAGATGAGATAAATATTTGATCATTTATTGGTCCACACTATATTCTATCATGATGCGGCTTGGTTTGGATTTTTCAAAGAAATTTTGCTTGAAACACTATAGATGTCGTCTTACATTATACTAGATTTTTCTCAAACTATTGAACTGATTATGACAAAACTTGACAGGAATGCTTGAAATAACCAGTATAACAAAGGAAAAAAGTCACATTCAGTTTATTTAACAAAAAGTCTTCTTTAGGTGTAATACCACCAAATCATAGTAAGTCACATCCGGTTGCATACGAAAAAAGGTCGAAAAAAATATTCCCTTGAATTTGACAGTTGTAGGTAAATTGATCCTACATTTCATTGCAGTAAAACATATCTGGGTCATAAACATATATCTTGGGTATTTCAAAGCACCATTATTTTTTTATTTGGGGTTTCTATAGAATATTTTGGAAACTTGAGGTTACATATAGTTACTAAAGCTTGTACACAGGTTAAAAAAGGGGGAAAATTTGATTGGTTAACTTCCGGTGATGGTTATTTTCTTATATGCAATGAAATGTTATGTGAAATTTTTTCTATAGTACTGGACAGGATAAAAGTTTACTCATGCCAAGTATTTCTTTATTTGAAACAAAGATAAATTCTGCACAATTTTATGAAAAGTGCAAATTTAACAAAGACTAATAGGGGAAAATCAATGGTGGTATTACACCTTTAAGTTTCTTAAATAAAAGTTTTGTCATGAGAATTAAAATTAAAAAAAATAACCTTAAAGAATATAAATGTGCATCAAAATAAGATTATGATTGAAATGTTTTCAAAGAAGTAAATAAAAACTCATTTGCTTTAATAGATCCAATTAATTTTTTTTCATGGAATAATCATATATTATTGTATTTTCATAGATAACTGAATTTCAGTTTTTAAGAAAATCTTTATTCAAGCCTAATCTGATTGTCGTTTGTTGCTGTATACAATATTTGTTTTTCGTTCATTATATTGTACATAAATCATGCCGTTATTTTTGTTTGTTTGAATTGTTTTACATTTGTCATTTTGGGGCCTTTTAACGCTGACTATGCAGTATGGGTTTTGCTCATTGTTGAAGGCCATATTGTGACCTATAGTTATAAATTTCTATGTCATTTAGTCTCTCGTGGAGAGTGGTCTCATTGGCAATCATACCACACCGTCTTATTTTAATATTCATATCTAGATCAACATGAATACTTCAATTTGTTAAAACAGTGTAAAAATATTGCATTGTTCTTTCTTTGAGATATTTTGTTGGTCTGCATTGCGTAATTTTTTTTCTGTAAAATTAACATTTCCATGCAGCTTAAGACTTGTAATACCTGTAAATTATCGATGTAAGTCTGTACATCCTTTGTGAAAATTTTGACAGTTTTTTCCATTTCCCTAAACTTTATTTCCTCCTTGTCAAATTCTTCATCTTTGGTCTAAAAGTTGAACAAAATATAAATAAGACAAGGAATATACTTGATCTGTCGCAAAATGCATACCCTAAATTCCAGAGAATATGACAAAAACTTCATTGTGTTCATGACATTTTAACCCTTAGACTGCTGCATTCATTTCTATTGTACTTTTGTGTATTGCTGAATAAAATTTTAATCACTGATGAAATAAACATGTTTACTTACAATTAATATTGCAATATCTTTGTAAATATTGAATATTCATCAATAAAAGTTATATAAAAAAGTATTGTTATATTCTGTATTTTTTATTTATTTTATTTTTGTGTGAGTCTCTGGTCATTTATTACCTGTACAGGTGCAAATAGGTAAACAAAGGTAAATTTCTTTTTTTTTCATGTTTTATTAAAGCGAATCCATCAATGTAAAAACTTTTCAAAGGTATCCATGACTTCAGAATTGAACCAATATTGTTAAAAATCTCTTTTAAGAACTAGTTCCATTGCGATTAAAAAGAAAAAAGTTTCTTCTCGAACCAACGGTTTTATTTATGCATCTATTTTCCGGTATTTTCCCTCTGACTTTCGACTTTTACTTCCATGTACAAATATGTTTTAACAACAAGTTCATTGATATAACTTTCGTCAATAAATAATCTTGACAAACATAATGTTTGAATCTATCCATGTCAGTGATCAATATTGATTCACAGTTGAAAGGCGCAATGATAAACATCGCAAATCCTGTTTCATGTCATCCATTTCGAACATCGTCTGGGGAATCCCTGTGGTTCCCTCTTTAAAAGTCTTCTGTTTGCAGTTTTGCTAGAATGTTTCTATTTCCATCTATTATATCTTCTGTTCTCGTCCAAATCATTTAAATTGGCCGCCGCTGTTACATCGTTATCATTGAAATACTTCTGAACGTGTTGGCCATCACTCCAAACAATTTCCGCCATTTTGTTACTTTTTTCATCTAAATTTTTCACTTTCGGTTTCATCGCTTATACCTGATTTAAAGTCAAGAGAAACTCGAAAGTAAGCCGAATTTTAACCAATCAGAATCCATACAAGTCTAAACTGTCGCAATCTCATGAATATCGACTCCGCCCATTCCATGGTAACTGTGTAAACAAATGAGATACGGAAACGACAATAGTCGCGCGTAGCAGTAGCGGACTGCTTTATCGGAACGACAAGAGTCGCGCGTAGCAGTCTAAGGGTTAAAGATATCAGTGTTTCAGTCAACATCATCGAAAACAGAAGTAAAGTAATTTTCTATTTAGTCAAAATTTATGAGACTTATTTCAAGTCAAGAAAACATTTATGCAATTTTATATATTTGATATGTAGTGTTTTTGACTATTGTTTGTCTTGTCATCATTCTTTCCTTCTTTTTTTCCATGATTTTGTAGTGTTTTTGACTGTTGTTTATCTTGTCATCTTTTTTTCCTACTTTTCTATGATTTTGTCAGTCTTTCTTTTTTTTTCTTTCTGACTTTTGGATATTGATTCTTCCTTCTCTACTTTCCTCCTTTTATATAATTATACCATATATTCAATACAAACAATGTATGGCATATTATCAAACATATACTTTCCAGATTTGTTATGAAAAAACAACTGACCTGTGGAGAAATTCCAAGATTAGTTGATAGTCTCCCTTTAAACCGACTTCCTTTCTTTTTCAAAGTGTGTAAAGTAAGCTTGCCCAGCATGTCTCCAAGTGATTGGTCTGTTTCCCTCTTATATTTGAAAACTAAATATAGAAACAAAAACAAAAGTAGATTATTATACAAATTCCATATTAAGCACCTTAATAACAAACTAACTTTGCTAAGACTGATATCAAGTTTAAAAAAAAAAACCTGTCAGATCTGTGAATTATGGCACCCTCAACGGAGTTGGGGTGACATATTGTTATTTTACGTTTTTTTCTTATAATTTTTATTTTTCTTTCACTTTTTTTGTCCAGCTTATATCTTGGAATTTTATGAACCAATGTTAATGAAACTATACAATAATGTTAACCAGCATGTGCAGATTTGCAATCGGGTTATGGAATTTTCAAGATGGCCGCTGTTACCATGGAAACAGCAAAAATGTCCAAAAAATCAATATGCTCCAAACTCAATGAAACTTTACAATAATGTTAATTGGCATGTGTAGATGCCCTCTTTGACTTTGGAATTTTCAAAATGGCTGCCGTTACCCTGACAATGGAGGAACGAGGGTGCCATCCGTTATTGCTAGCAATTACAAATCTCGTTCGTTTTACTTTTAATGGAGAAATTTTACCAGCAAACTTTTAATGTGTTAAATGCAGACAAGTTTGAAATTCACAAATACATCAAAGGAGAAAAGGAATTACCAAAATTTGTGTATGTGCCTTTCCTAAATAAGGGCTATTCCATTAAAATGTATGTGGGAGGGTATAGTAGGAAAGGACTTTCAAAATATCCCTACAACCAAGAACCATTTTTTAGATAATTTTGCATAATGGTAATAGACTCATTCTGAAAAAAGACGGATGACCCCACATTCAATAATTAAACTGCCCTTCCTACCCTCCCACATACATTTTAATGGAATAGCCCTAAGGAGATTTGGGTTGTTGATTTTTGCTGTCTATCATATTTCTTTTTTGCTTATTGTGTTTTCATAAATCATGCCTTTGATTTTCTCATTTGAATTATTTTTTATTTTGTCATGTCAAGGTCTTTTATAGCTTATTATATGGTATGGGGTTTTGCTAATTTTTAAAGGCAATACAGTGACATATAGTTGCTTACATCTTCTTCATTTGGTCTCTGGTGGACACTGAATTCATTATCATCCATGAGATACCAATTTTTGTTTTGAAATTGTGGGTACAGGTGAACCACAAAATTAAATGTTTATAGGTTGCACTTCTATAAATATAGACAATGCAGTTTCCTATAGCAACTCCCTTTGTGGCTAAAGCTGTGCAACTTTTACTATGAAGTTTCATAAAAAATCATATCCTAGAATGGAAAGTTGATATGCACCACTTTTTTATTCAAAGGTCAAAACATAGGGCTGTGCGGCAATTTTCAACATTTATATGCCCCAAACTTCTAAGAGTTTACACTTATACTAAAATTCTGTACTACCCCTACCTTTACTTTTGGTCTGCTTCAGAATTCATTTTTCACCGGTACCTTCTGTTTTTATACTGGTAACATTCCCAAGTTATTTCTCTATGAGATGAAACATAGAGATCATATCTGGGAACCAGTATGTAAACAAATTAAAATATCTATGAATATTATATATCTCCTCAAAAGAGGAGTGGCTTGTGAAACAGCTGTATTTACAAAGTGCAACCTATAGAACGTATTACAAATTTTCTATAAGGTTATATGACTTTTGCAAAACCAAGAAATCAAATATCCATGAAAATGTAAGTTTTATTTCAATCAGCGAAATTTGGTACCTGTGAAAAATAAATGAAACCACAGTAGTTATCTTAATGACATTCATACCACATCTTCTTATTTTTATATATGGGACAATTATTTAATTCCAAAATGTTTTACCCAGATCTTTTCTACGCTTGTATTCATTAATAGCAGCTGCCACATCTGTCATGGCATTTATACCGTTCAATGCCTCCAAACTGTCTTCATGGCTGTTTTCTGTACACTATAAAGACATTATTTAGATCAAATGAAATAAAGTTTTAAATTATCATCCTTCTTGGCTTCTTCTATTAAATATGGAGAGTCAGAAATTATGTTTTTTTTTATTTATTGATTTTCATAAATGATTATAAATAACTTCAAGAATAATTAAAAACCAATTGTTCAGAGAACAATTGAAGGTCTTTCCACCAAAAACCATGAATTTTAATATGAAAGTAGTAAAATTAGGTTAAAAATGTCATTTCAATGGTCAAATGATAGCTTATTGTACGCTGATTCCAAAAATTTATGGTTTCTATACAATATTTTTTTAAATAAGGGAGATAATTTGTTACTACCGGTTTGAAAAATGATACTTCCGATACTATCTGAATATTTACTTGACACTGATTCCAAAAATATCTGGTTTTATATACTTTTATATTAAGAATTTACAAAATATAGCTACTTCCGGTTTACACAAGGTCACTTCCGGTTGTTTTTTCAAGGTTAAATGGTTTGATACCTATTGCCAAAAGTCTCATGGCTTTATCATGTATACATATGAGGTAAAAGCAAAGGTCAAAATCTAGAACGTCAAATTATGCTATGACCTTGAGATCAATTTCAAGGTCATAAACCAAGAACCTCAAATCAAAAGACCATAGGTCTTGATTATATTTAGTTAATGAGTTATATCACCATACGCGTATTTTTAAATACAAGAGGGGAGAAAACTCCCTTTTACGTTCAACGTACCCTTGCAATCAAAATTTACGTGTTACGACATGTCGCAAATAACAATTAAGTAAAAATAATTTGTCGATATCTTATACGTTTTTTTGAAATAAGTGAAAAAAAAAACAAATTTACATAAATTTAGAATATGACCTTGACCTTTGACCTTGACCTAATTTTCATTTTTTTGGACCAAGGACCTCAAATCAAAAGATCCTAGGTCTCTATCATTTATGGTTTACAAGATAGAAATGCATATCACTTATATCAAATGCATAAGGGGAAATAACTCTCATATGGAGCGTTCATATTGCTTCGGTCAAAATAGGACAAATCAATCGAAGGATGTAACGAGCAATTTTATAAAATAAATTTATCGCTTTCTTTTACGGTTACTGAGGAGATGCTTGCACAAGGAAAACAGTGTTTGGGGAGATAACTCCTACAAAGAAAATTATTTGGTTACGCAGGGTAAATTTCAAAGGCACATAAACTGTTCGATATCATATACCAAATATCTAAGCGACATATTGCGAAACAAATATTTATCGCAAGAACAAAATTAGGCTTCCACAGAAAAGTGGAAAGACCCAATAAGTAATTAGTAATAAGAAAAATAGTTTTCAAAATAACTTCTTTTATGATTTATAATTACTTGTTTGCCCTGAAGTGATGTTAAGAGATGGACAATCTATCAAACAGTTTCCCAAATATTGCTCCTTCAGTTTTTTTAATAAAGTTTAATTACAAATTGAATGCTTCTTTTTGTAAATTTATTGGGGTGCAAAAGCGTTGACTGAAGTACATTTTGTATGAAGCGTGGAAGCGCTTCATTCTGAAAATGTGTGCACGGTCAACACTTTAACAACCCTATAAAATTACTAAAAGAAGCAATCAATACTTATACATTTTTTTGCTAGGATCATGAAAACACGATTTCTTTTGTTTACCTGTGCACTTTATTGTGGAATCTCATGTCATCATGAATGTGAAGGTTAATTTCAGAATGACGCGAGATTGCTGTTAGCCAATCAAAATAACGTATCATAATGAAATATACATGTAATTTAATTATTGTGAAATCAATTTCAATTCAAATCTTGTTAATAAACTGACATCAATTGGAACTTATTTCATGCAATACAAAAATACACACATGAATTTTCAATGGTATATCTAAATGTGGTGTAAGGGAGATAACTTGTTTCTGTTAACTATCCCAACATTCTCTCTTAATTTATAAATACCTTAATCAACTCATTCAGCAACAGAGGATATTTGAGAATTCTCTGAACAGGTTTGATAAGTAAAGCCTCAAGGTCAAATACAACAATCTGTTCTCGTAATTCATTCAACTTTCCATTAAAATACTGCTTGATGGACGGGTCTTCTCTGTACTGTAATAAACACGATAAGAATATAGTCTATTTGTATAAAAATTGATTTATTACTTACAATTTAGAACCTGAACATGATGAATAATGAAAATTTTAGCATTGTACAAGTTCATGTTATTTCTTAGACTATTTAGTATGTTTTTTCTCTTCAATCATCTTTTTAACCTGCCTCAGTGGTCTTGAGATGATATTCTAGTATTGTGTTGGGAATGTTTTGGGTTCCATCCCCATGTCGCGGTAATATAATGATCTAATGAATTAATCATGTTATCTCATTGGAAGTCATACAACATCTTATTTTTATAATGTAAAAGATAAAATTGGTAAAACAAATGAAATAAAGACAAACAAAATAAAATTGGCAAAACAAATGAAAAAAAGACAAAAAATAAAATTTCACAGATTTTAACAACTGCAATTGATGCTCACAAATGATTTTTTAACATACCTTTTCAAGAATAGATATAACTTCATCATGGTTTCTACAGTAAGGTGCATAAGCATTCTTCATGTCTTCAGAAAGTTTGATAAAACAAGGGCCTGAAAAAAAACCATTTTACTCTCATTGTTAAATCTTGCATTGTAGCAAAATATGTTGGGGAAGTTCTCAATCCTAGTCAATTAAGATGGGAGTTGAATGCACCTCCCCTGTGCGGCATTGAACTCACTACCTCAGAGTTGATGGGCTATTGATACAGTAGTACTTAAATCCTGGTAGTGTGGCATAAGAATTTTCCATGGCTTATTATAGCCAAATTCATGCATGACAGTTTGAACATCTTTGTCAGTATTCAAATTATGTACCGAAATCTTATTTACCAAATAAGGTCATAAATATTGAGGAAATGTTGAACACTAGAAAAGCTTGATGCACAATTATTTTACAAACACATGGTTAGGAAAACAAATCTTATAACAATCACCAACTTCAATATTATGCTATAATGTGATGCCTAAACCATGTAAACTCTTTATACATGTATAACTTGTCAAAGTATTTTATAGGAGTAACACAATGGCTGTTGCATGTGGAGCAAGATCTGCTTATCTTTCTAGAGCTCCTGAGATCACCTCTGGTTTTAGGTGAGGTTCATGTTGCTTGGACTTTAGTTTTACATTTTGTGTTTTGTAGACTTATTTTTTTTGGTCATTTTTTTGTTGCCATGTTACTGTCAGTTTGTTTTCAAGTTTGATTTTGGGTGACCCATTTGTATTTTCCACCTCTCTTTTTCAAAATGCTTCCTATATCAACACATACTGTAAAAACAGAAATTATTGCATGTTTTTATTATTCCGAAAAATGCGACAGGGTTATAATTGCAATAATTTAAACTCGCATTTTGAAATTTTTTAAATGAATTAAACAGGATTTTTCTCAATATTGCAAAAATTAAAACCGCATTTTAGTCTAAAATGACAAAATCGCAATAACAAATGCACGCAATAATTTCTGAATTTACAGTATACAATTCCACAAAACAGGCCTGGCATTACACATACAGTGACACCATTTTACTTTAAATAACACAAACATGCAATGAGTGAAACTGGTTCCATTTTAAAATAAAGAGGAATCAATATTGCATCTGAACAGTTGGTACCAGTATTTGGAGTAATTTACATCTACTTAACATTCCCATGAAATCTTACGTGTAGCATACCTAACAACTGATCTTCAAAATCCTTCCCATTGACAGCATCCTCTAACAAAGTCAGGAGTCTTTGGGAAACATCAGCCACATCTTCTATATTACCAAATACTGCTTCAACATCTACATCTGGGCACTGAAATATAACAATACTAGCACATGAGGTTATTTTACAATCTTTTTAGTTGCCTCCAGCAACAAGGTATTTCCTTAAACATGTTAAATCATCATCTGTTCAATACTGTCAACATTGTCATATATAATATGAGCTCTGTCAGATAGACATCTACCTTATGCAAGTGCACGTATACATGTACATGTATAAGAGTTTAATTGATTTTGGAAACATTCAAATACAAAATGATGAATTTTAGTCTGTTTTGTAGGGTTCTTATATCAACTCAATTTTCAAACAGTTACAGACTGTATCGAGATTTTTTCAACCCGCAATAGGTTAACAGATGTGTTGTTATCCATTGCATAAGGTTGATTTCTATCCGACGCAGCTCATCTAATGGTTGTGACATCATCCAATACAACTTATCACTAGATTTGTACCAGCATGAGCAACATGATGCCACCAACAACAGGAACTGCTTGCCCTGCCAGAGCACCTGAGTTCACTCCAATCTATGGTGGAGTTCACGCTGCTTAGTTTTTAGTTATTTATCTTCTATTTTGTGGATTTGTTTTTCTTTCTTCCCTTTTTTTTTGCCATGGCGTTGACAGTTTTTTTTGACAAATAAATTTTGAATGTTCCCTTCGTATCTTCCGCCTTTTTCTCTCTTTCCAGTTTATGCAATTTTAACAACAGTTCAATCCGTTTTGATTTTGGCGCCACTGATGAGTCTTATGAGAGTAAAACTCAGACCTAAAATACAAAATTACAAGCTTCGCATCTTTGATAATATTTAACTATTTTTAATCAGAATAAAATGTACAGTAAATCTAATTATTTAATCAGACCTTATTTAAGCATTTTTCTAAATGATTTTACATTATACGAAACATGTGTACTATGTTTGAAGTTGATGTGGCATAATACTACCTTAAACCAAATCTTAACCTAATTTTGGGACAGACAAACAGACATAGATTGCAAACATAATACCCTCCTACTATTGTAGTGGGCATAAAATTTAAGAGAGCACCTGAATCTCCTTGTGTGGTAAAGCATGCCCCTTGTAATTCAAAGCATTGGATAACAAAAAGTAGATAGGTGTCTGACAAATTCAGGTAATACTCACACATTACAACTATTAATTATAAGCGGATGACTAATTAATATATGAAGTGGTTTTGTTCAGCAGTACATGAAAAAATAAAATGCTCCGCTGGGCGCAGCTTGATACGACCGCAGAGATCCATACACTTGAACACAAGTTATTGTCTGGAAACTAGATAAATGCTTATTTTTGGCCCTTTATTCCTAAAAGTTTTGGGCAATTACCCCAAACTCAATTCCAGCTTTCCCTTTGTGATATGGAACCTTGTAGTACAATTTCAGAAAGATCCATACACTTACACACAAGTTATTGTCATGAAACTAGAAAAATGCTTATTTTTTGCCCCTTTTTTGGCCCCTAATTCCTAATATTTTGAGGCAATTACCCCCAAAATCAATCCCAGCATTCCCTGTGTGATATGGAACCTTGTGGTACAATGTCAGAGAGATCCATACACTAACACACAAGTTATGTCTGGAAGTTACAAAAATGCTTATTTTTGGCCCCTTTTTGGCCCTTAATTCCTTAACTGTTGATACCATAACCCCCAAAATCAATCCCAACCTTCCTTTTGTGGTATTGGTCCTTATGGTAAAATTTCATAGAGATCCATTCACTTAAACTAAAGTTAGAGTGCGAAAACCAATGTGTCTTCGGACGACGACGACGACGCCAATGTCATACCAATATACGACCGCAAAAATTTTTTGCGGTCGTATAAAAATGTCACTAAAAAATATTAACTTCATTTAACATATTGAGAAAAAAGTATAAACAAACAGGAAGAAGGTGTACAAAAAATCAGTATAAATGCTGATATGAAGTCCTTCTTTCGTGCAGTAGTACCTGAGGAAAGTGTGACTAATAAATTTGTTGGACGAACAGACATACAGACGGATGGACCAGGTGAATGCCATACAGTCACAACTTTAAGAGTGGAGGTATAATTTACCTTGTCTGCTGTTGGACTAACAAAAGTCTCAATACACAGATGTAGTCCATGGAGGAAGTCTCTTTCTGTCTGGATCAGCTCATCTATAACTTTCTCTCTTTTTTCTCTTCTCTTTATCCTTTGTTCCTCTGCTTTCTTTCTGTCTTCCTCTTGTCTCTGTTCTTCTTCCTTCTTCCTTTCCTCCTCAGCCATCTTTTTGGCTACTTCATCTAGCTCTGAGCTTGGTAAAACTTTGTGAAGATTTTCTGTTGAAACAGATGAATACTAAAAAAATGTTCATGATTTAAGAAAAAAAAATTAATGTATTGCTGACTATTTTTTATGTTTACCCTTTCTGTTGAACCTAGTATAGTTATCTAGATAAAAGTGGAAAATGCTCAAATCTCCATTTAGGGACAATCACTCCTAAAAGTTATCTTATAATTTGCTAGAAATGAAATATCTATATAGACCTAGACATTGAGGGCATTTTTACCATCAGATTTTTTCATTCCATTATGATTTTCAAGATATTCTTGCTTTTTGCCTGTATGCTCTATTTTCATGCAGGACATTTTTTTTTTCTTCAAAAGTTTGGTTGAAATTAATCCTTTGAATTCAGAGAAGTCTTTTGAAAAAGTTAAAATTATCCCAAAGTTGTTTTTGATTCAACAGTAGGTTTATTTTACTATTTGATTTGAAATATTCAAGGGGTAACAAAAGTGGACTTTATCATACCTTTTCCTTTTTGCTATTAATTTTCAGCTAGAAAAATAGAAACTGTTTTGGAAAATTTCTACCTGTAGGTATGTTGTTTTTTAGTACCTTTAAGACTGTCTAACTCATGTGTAAGTCCCTCTATATTAGCAATGTAAAATTCAATATTGTCATGAACTTCTGAACTCTTTCCATCTTCTGTGTGCTGAATTTCTAACTCTTCTTTATTCTTCTTGTATCGCTACATGAAACAGAAAAAGATATACATGTAACATCTAGACCAGTTAAAGGGGAAGTTACACTTATTGGTGGAGATCTTCCTGACTACACAAATATGGATAAAACACATTATTTAAACACTAACCTAATGCACATCAGTTAAAATATCTTTTATGGCCTCACATTTTTTTATACATATATGCATACCACAATGTTTACCTTAGAACCTTGCAGTAATAATCATCCTTAATATATATAGTTACTTCTGTTAAGTTTTTGCCCTAAAAATCTAGTCTTTTAAATTTATAATAAAAAACAAAATTAAGAAAGGAATATTTATTAGAAAGTATGTGGGGGATTCTAAATAAATTTGAAATTTAGATAATTCTCATTAGAAATGAGTCTTCTTCAACAAAACCTGAAGACTTAATTTTGAAAAAAACAAGGCAAAGCTTAAACATTAAATTGCTTTACAAAAAATATATATAAAATACACATCCAAAGTCCAACTTCAAATTTAAGAAATGAAATATATTTTCCAAATCTGCAAGGAAAAGAACAAATCGATAGAACAAATAAATAAATAAATAAAAGAGATTGAGAGAGTTCCATGCTAATATACTTTTCTGCATGATGTTAGGCCAACTTTAAGAAATTATATGTTTGATGTTGCCTACCCATGCCTTGTAGGGTTGAGTAGGTAGGTAGGGTTTTTTATCTTTTTTTGGCCAACAACATAAGTTACATGTTTAAGACAAGAAAATGACATTAGAGCAGGAAAAAATCTTTAAAAAAAAAATTTGAAACGATTTGTGTCATAAATTTTTTCCGGTAGGCCGCTTTTTAGTTGGGTAGGTATAGGCAACATCAAACAATCTAAATTTTATTACTGGCCTTAGGACCTTGTATTGCAGTTATTCCAGCTTTTTGCATAAGAGTTCCATGCCTTCTCCAAAACTAAATCACTAATTTAATAAAAAAAGGTCTTCGAAAAATTGATAAAGAGATCTTTCCATAGAATTCCTATTCATACCATTTTTCACAACTTATACATTTTTTTTTACAATGAAGATTTTATTAATAAATGAGGAAAAACAAAAGCACTAATTGCTTAAAATCAAGTAAAATATATTAACTAATGATCCAATATCATCCTGAAAGTTTATTATAGGGTATCAGTTATAAAACTTTACTCAGTATCTCAGAGTACAACATTTGTGCTTGAAACGCCAAATGCAGTATTCTGATTGGTTGAATTTGAGTAGGATAATCGTGCGCGAAAGTTTTCTGACTACAACTCCCGATTAGTATTATTTAGTAAGAGCACGAGAGCTAAAGAATCAGTTCAAGTCCATATATGGGAATTTCCATCCTGTCAATCAATCCAAAAACTTTAGAACGGAACATATGTCATCCTGAAAATTAAACTTGAATGTTTTTGGGTATGGCATGTTGTTGGTTTTCTCTTCAAATTGTTTCACATTTGGTCATCCTATCCCTTTTTTAACTTACAATACTGAATATATGCTCCTCATTGTTGAAAGCCTTAAATGACATGAAGTTGTCCTTTGATCTCATTGGCAATCATACCAAATATTTCTAATTTATATTGAGCAGTGCACATGGTGAATGGAGCTTGAAAATGGAGTTGAGATCAAGTGACAATGACCAGTTGCCTACATCTAATCATGACCTCCAATCCATACATACTTTTGTTATTGGGGATAACATATTGATGTTATTTGCCAATTGTTAAAGCTGCAACTGGAAATGCTTTGATCCCAACCAAAAATATTAAACATATGCATATATCTTTCTACCATGACTTTTGGTGCACACAAGCCAAAAATCATAAAATTAAGAACAGAGTATCAAAGAAAATGATTATCTTTAAAACATGCTATTAATAACATATTTTAGAACATGCTACAGTTCATGTGTGTTTCAAATCCCTCACCACAGACACAGTAACATTTTGATTCACAATTTTTCTTTTTTTGTCCATGAATATCTGAAAATTCAGCAATACACATTTTGTATTTTAAATCATAGAATAACATGACAAACACATATTTATTAAAATTCAGATATAAAAATAAAAACAAGAGATTCTAAGAGCCACTTGTTTGCTTTTTTTAAATCATTACAAAAAATTATTAATTATATATTCAAAGGGAGGTAATCATCTAAACAGTCAGAGCTCAGACATAAACAGCATGAACGGTTTGTTTTTTTTTGGACTTAACAGAAGTCAAAAAATGTATTTATTATAAAAATGTGTTTTCATTTTCAGACTTAATTAAGTCAGAAAATGACAGACTTGTTTAGGTCTATTTATGGTAACTTTAATTGACGATCAATGTGCACCACCTATGACATCATAAACCTGTCTGAGAGTTCACAAGGACCTGAGCTATCTATATTTAATTATCTAATTGAACATTTTAACTTAACATAAGATTATTTTCCTCAATTTGTTTGGTTATAGATGGTTGCATTGTAAAGTAAATAAACATTATCTCCGTTTTTTTAGGCTCTCATGCATATTTTTCTTTAGAAGACAAAGCATTGTCTTTCAATGTTGTCATAATTTCATGTAGATACTTGACCTTTTTATAAATGTGCTTGGGTCTTGAAGTTGACCAATTTTGGTAACTTATCGACTTGTAGGAGTCAATGTTTGCAACTTTTAAATTCAGGTCAAATATTTCTTGCTTAACACTAATTGACTTATTGAAGTCATAATTTGTCTTAATTTAAAGGGAGACAAATCTAGAAACCTACAAATTTAAACCAATATGAGTCAAAAGCAGATTAAGACTTATTTATGTCTGAGCATTGACTGTTAAGTCTACCTCTCAAAGAGCGGTAATTATCTTAAGTCTACCTCTAAGTCTGTTTCCACTTCTTTTATTCTTTGTTTCAAATCTTCTATGATTTCAAAGTTTGTATCATCTGAAACAATAAAAAAGATTAAAAATGAAAATGCATTTGCATAATAATCATGATAATACAAATATCAAATCTAGTGTCTAATTGCTGCACGAAATATATCAGCATGACCAGTTGCCATGGTTGTAAAAATCAATCTACAATAAAATTTTGAAGTATTCTTAATTTATTCCTGGACATGGCTTGTTTGAAAATGCAAAATACTGTATTATGATATTCAAGAGAGGTGAAAGATACCAAAGGGACTTTCAAACTCATAAGTCGAAAATAAACTGACATACGCCATGGCTAAAAAAGAAAAAGACCAACAGACAAACAACAGTACACAAAACACAACATAGAAAACTAAAGACTGAGCAACACAAACCCCACCAAAAACTGGGGGTGATCTCAAATGCTCCGGAAGGGTAAGCAGATCCTGTTCCACATGTGGCACCCGTCGTGTTGCTCATGTTAGTAATAACCCCATAATAAGTCTAATTCGGTATACATAGGTCACATTAAGTGAAAAGGGGGCGGGATTGTAATTACGATATTTGGAACATATCCGCTATCATCTGTGAAACGGATATTCCATAACGGTCAACCAACTCGTGATGGAACTCTTGTTTTAATAGCTTCCTTGTGAGCAGCAACCCTCTATCAAGGAAATCCTGATAGGAAATACAAGCCCTGGAATATCGTATCAACTGTGAGATATATACTCCATATGTAGGCGCTGCTGGAATGTTGCTACATAGAAATGGAAAGTTCACAATTGGGAAGCTGAAATCATCTCTTTTGTCGTAAAGTTTTGTTTTCAACCCACCCTCATTGTCAATATCTAGATGTAAGTCAAGATATGAGGTAGACTTAACTGTATATGTTGTATCCTTAATCTCAAGTTCGATGGGATAGATGCGTTCAACATAGTCACCAAATTTTGAATTATTCAGTGAGTGAACATCGTCTATATAGTGAAAAGTAAAGTTGAAGGACACTGCTAACTTCTTTTCTATCTTCCTAAGAAGTTCCTGTATGATTAGTCAGCCTCATATGAATAAAGGAACAAGTCAGCCAGAAGCGGGGCACAGTTAGGGATGGGGATTGTTTGTTCAAAAACATGTCCTCCAAACATAACAAATATGTTGTCAATCAAGAAATCAAGTATCTTGATAATGTCCATTTCAGAGAATCTTTTGTTAGAATCATCTGTTTCAGAGAATTTTTTGTTAGAATCAGAGTGATTTTTTACAAAGTATTGTATTTGTCCCTCCCTAAGACACGATACTTGTATCTACATGTATGTTGGCCATTCTTTATGATGAAACAAAGCAGGACCAACTCTTTCAATTTGTCTTTTGTTTGGAATGGGGAATACTTCTGTAAAGTGTAGAAAAGTCAAATGTTTTAATACTATTGCAAGATGAAATAGTCTTGGATTGTATGACAAGAAAATTTAACTGTCAAGAGTGGGGAAATATGGCATTGCAAGAGATTTGACAGTGGAATCAGTTTCTCTCTTATAACTTTTAGACGATATGTGGACACACTTAGTCCTTCTTTTCCAATGATCTGCATAAAGATGTGTTCTCTATTGTTGACGTCATTAGACATGGTAACTTTTTCGAGACCTCACAATAGGAAATTCAGAGGAAAGCAAGAAAATTGACGTCATAATTGAATTTTGACCATGATGAAGTACTGAGATCAAACAATTAAACCACACGTTGATTGAAAATAAACAGCAGGTCAGGAAAACCATGGAAAAGGAAAATTGGCTGGCTAAGAATTAGAGGAAAAGCAAATATTACTTACATCTTCAAGTATATATAAAAGACACTTGTATAAGAATAAACCCCGACTGACTTGTGCTGGAAAAAGTCATTTGAAATTTTTTAACTTAATTTTTTACTTGGTTTAATTTGGAAGCAAAATATTCAATTTCAAAATACAAAATGTATATAACATGCATAATAGTGCCAGTAGTAACAGTACACAAAACATGATTCAGTTATAAATCATGTATGGCGGTGTCAGTTAATCTGACTGTATAACATTTTTGAATAAGTAAGAAATTTACTCTGAAATATCTCTCTGTACATTCCATAGATACATGTACATGTAATATATATATGACAGGGTTGTATATCATATTGCTATAACCCCAATCAACAGCATACCCTGTCAGTTATATGTTTTACAGTGATTCACTTAACATCGCCATACATTATTTATTGCTGAATCACATTTCGGGTAATGTAATTTATATATATTTTAAAATTGAATATTTTTTTTAAACAGAGTGAAAAATTAAGTTAAAGCAAATTTGTTAAGCACAATAATTCAGTCAGGGGTAATACTTATACAAGTCATTTTTATTTACTTGAAGATGTAAGTAATATTTGCTTGTATACATGTACTGTTAAGTAAATTTGTCAGTTTTAAATGTTCTTTTCAAGGTTTGATTTATTGATCAGTGTTTAAAGACACTTTAAGCACTCCATGCACTATTGGCTATTTCATGGCAGTCAGTTTTTATTGGTGGAAGAAGCCGGAGTGCCCTGAGAGAACCACTGATCTTCGGTAGGAAAACAGACAATTATAGTCAATTAAGATACAATCACTAGCCTGTCAACACTGAGGTTGTGAGTTCGAATCCTGCAGAGGGAAGGTGCACTCTACTCCAATCTTAATTGTCAGTTTTCCTACTGAAGGTCGGTGGTTCTCTCTGGCTTCCTCCACCAATAAAAACTGACTGCCACAAAATAGCACAATAGTGTTGAAAGTGGTGTTAAACAACAATCAATCAATCAATTAATCAATAGTAATCCAGACTTTTTGCTAATTTTCTCCCAAATCTCTAATTGTTGGCATTTTTAAAAAGTATTTACAAAAACACCGAACTCCAAGGTAAATTCAAAAATAAAACCTAACAAAATCAAACATTAGACTATGTGACAACCGTCTAGACAAATGAAAACGACTGTCATATTCCTGACTTGGTATGGACATTTTCTGAAAAATGTAAATATCTATTCTTTATAATAAAATATTCATCAATCAACAGATCACCTAAAACACTTTTTATCTTTATACATTGGACTTAATAGTCTGTGCCAAATAGGGCCCTTATCAAACTTACTCTTTTGATAGACAGGAAAGATTATCAAAGATCAGGAACATACTCAAACTTACATAATTTAAAAATGTCAAAAGCAAAACTAGAAATACCAAAAGGACTAATTATTTAAAGATACTTCATAACACCTATTTTATTAAATATTTAATAAAACCTACCACATAAGCTGAGAGAACATTAAATCCTTCTTTTATTATCTATATAGACATGATAGATATATACATATGTACAAGTCCAACTATATGTGCACATCCAACTGAAAGTGTATCTTTGACAGTAAATTATAGACTTTTAACCCTCAAGTCAACTAACTAGGTCAATGCAATGAGGAATTTCTATTGTGAAATTTGGAGTACCTCATTGAACTCTTTAAAGAATAATTAAAAACTTCCAAGTATTGTTATTTATTTGAAGCTGAAGCAGGAAGAATTCACCAATGTTTACACACATACATGTAAATACATCTGAATCTATGTTTTAACATGATTTAATCAAATAAAAGATAAAATTAGCAAACATTTATCTCATTCATTGTCATAGTTAATACTATTATTTGTACATGTACATATATGCAAGTGCATAATGTATGAATGTGCAATTAAAATAGTTTAAATATTTAAAACCCTCATTTCAGCATAAATTAAATTTAAAAATATTTAGTTCAGAATTAAAAAGAAATAGATTAAATGTACAATGTATACAAATAGTTCATCTGTATAAAACATTTGATAGTAATTTTAATATCTTTATTTTCTTTTACCTTGATCAATAAATCCCTTTGATAAACGACAGAATAAAATTTGATTTTACTTATAACATGTATAAATATATTTACAAACATAGATGTGTCATTGCAAAATACACCTACATTGTAAATTGGTTTAAAGGTATAAATACTTTATACATGTACTTATATATATTTGGGCTAAATATACAAACTTTTAAATGTTACCTCAGGCTGAATTTATGATTTATCAGGTCTTTACTTTGAAGAAACATACAACAAAGTTCAATAAATATACTGAGGGACAATAAATATATATTGAAGGACACAAGCAAAACCCTGTCCTGAATACACATGAAATATTTCCCACTGGACATCAATCAAACAACTAACTGGTCACAATCAATCAATCAGAAGTATACATTTGGACACCAATGTTCACCTGATTATTAATAATTTGCCCCCCCCCCCACCCCACCCTCTTCCATGGCAAAAAAATAAATAAATAAAGGAGAATAAAATCAACAACATTTCAACAATGAAAAATATGTCAGAAACTGTGGTTCCCCAGTTCCCTTTTTTAGATAAGGTAAGCTGCTGACACAAGATTAAAAATTGACCATGATCATGATGATGACAAAATGTGACAATTGACAGGTCAACATGACTGATGTTGTTGATCCTCAGATTAACTATGATTACATGATTTAAGGTCAAGACAGATTTTACTACATTTATATGTCAAATGTATGCCTGTATCTACAGTTGCATATTTGATATCAGTAGATATACATGATATAGTGATTAGGATCATAACCATGATAACACGATGTTGACTGCTGTACCCCAATTTTTGACATTTTTACCTATTACATTGTATGTCTGTTTGTTTTGTTCACACATTGTTGTCAATATAATGGAATTGTATGCGACTGTCATACAAGTGAGAGGTTTAGCTACATGTAGCTGTAAAACCAGGTTTAATCCACCATTTTCCACATAAAGAAATGCCGATTTCCATTCATTTGATGTGTTTGAGCTTTTGATTTTGCCATTTGATAAAGGACTTTCTGTTTTGAATATTCCTTTGAGTTTTTTTTTTTGTTAATGATATTTTACTTTTTATTTGTATTTGAACTATTTCATGAAGTTTTAGTCTCTTTAACATGTACATCTACCCCGTATCCCTATTCCATCCTATCTGATACTATCTTACTAAAAAAAATTGGGAATCAAACCTCTCTAAAGAAACCAGCTTGGATATAATATAGATTCATGTACATTGCTCACTTCATCTTTGTCATGTTTGTGTATTAATCAACATTGTCTCAATTAACAGATGCATTTACACGTGTACATCTTAATTGTACTTCATTTTTGTTCCCCTATATTATAATTTAATCATTAATGCATAAGAAAGTTTAGTTTGAAACATAAACATTTCATTCTTTCATGTTAAAGGTATATCACTTTAACATGTTTATCAGTGTTTACTGTTACAGTATATATTTAAAAAAAAATAACCAGAGTTAGTCCCCCGTTAATATACATGATATATATATATACCATATGTCACATTTGGCAACTTTTAGAGAGACATTTAGAACAATGTTGAATGTGCATATTGATCATCATGATGGACATTGTATCTGTCCTCATAAACAACAACTCAGTCAGGGTTGGCAAAAACCTGGGTTTTATGAGTATTGCCCAGCCCAGTGGGAAATACTGGGAAAACCTGGGTTTTACTGGGCTTTACCGGGTAATACTGGGCAATACTGGGTAATATGAAATACTGGCTGAATTTTAAAGAGGATTAATCACAAACAATGACAAATGCAATAAATTAAAGATTTTTATAAAAATAAGATATATAGTATTTTAATTTATAAGTTCACTTGTTTGAGACTTATAAATCTGAGGAAATTTTAATTGTCCAGTAACTCTAAGAATAAGTGTACATGAAGACACATTAGACAAGTATGAAAAGCTTTTCTTAATAATCCTCCTAAAAATCTATCTAATCGCAATTCTGTCTAGATTGGTCAAAGCGTTGATGACTTAAAGTTGAAGAATTCAATTTGGTTTTCTAATAATCATAACTTATATCTGAGACTACTATAAGTGTTATAGAAGTCTCAGCTTATATTAAGAATTAACAATTATATGTAACATGTGTAAGGAAAATTACTTTTAAACATTTTTTATTCATTACTAAAAATGTTTACTTAAGTTTAAGCATATATGTTAATGTATATCACTAAATAATAAGTAATTATTCAGATTATAACATAGATTTGTTTATATAACATTAATCAGCCTTTTGATTTCTATAAGTGTTCATGGCCTGTCCCCTTAGGGTGTTTATTTAGCAATATGATTGTACATGTATAACAATTAAAATTTACAATTCACTTAAACACTGCAATAAAATGTATTTTTTCAAAGGTTCAAATTGGATTATTGAAACAAAGCTAGGAAATTAACAAGGTTAGTTGAAGGTATCCTGAAATATGCAAAACTTGTATTCTGCGCATGCCTACATAGAATTAGTGGAGAAAAGGAAGAATTTTCAATCTCCAGGAATACCTCTCAATGGTTACCTATATAAATGTATATATTTAGCTATAATACTATTAAACTACAACAAGTCTTTACTATTTTGTGTAAAAATAAGCTTGAAAAATCATATTACCCAGTATTGCCCAGTATTACCCGTTTCTGGGAGTATTGCCCAGCCCGGGGACACGGGTTTTCCCGCCCAGGTAATACTTTGCCAACCCTGCAGACAGTCAGCATGGCCAGTAGGCCTAACTTTTATATACCAAAAAGAGTTTTTACTTTCCGCATGTTCAGAAGTAATTAGTTTTTAGAAATTATCTCCCTTTGAGCTTTATTCTTCAGTAAAACTGTCCTTACAGAAGTAACTTCTTTGTAAAACCATGAAAATTCACAATTTACCATTTATAACATTCTTCTGTGGGCATATGATCATGATCAGATGATGATAAGCATGATAAGTGTACATGATGCATAATGTCCATAGAAGTTCAACCTTCTATCTTTCCACAATACCGGTAAATAACACCACATCCATTTAATTTTATATTGCTGTCTCATTGATGGATATGCTCAACATCTCCTTTTATTCTAGTTCATGGTTTAATATGTGAAATCAAAAATATCTCTCAGATCAAAAATTAAAACACATGTAGCAGACCAGCACAAAACTTCATTACCTATTCATGCTATTAGAAGACTGGATGTCATGCATATTGAAAGCACTTGAGAAATGCTGAAGTTAATCTCCTTATGTGTACTGTTCATGTGCAATGTATATATACCCGATAGTTGTTTAACTTAGTATATATTAATGAACCATGAAAATGTTATAAATGAGATTTGTTCAAAGGCCAGATGAATTCTTTAAGGCAGACATGTACATGTATACCTTACAATTATTCTACATGTATACACATGATACATGTACACAAAATATACATTAAAATATGCCTACATTTTCTATTTGTTGTTTTCTTTTGTGTCATTGTTTTAATTGCTGTCTTATTAAAAAAAAAACAAAAAAAAACAAATGCAACTCACCAGGTTCTTCTTTTGTAGGACTAAACGACATCAAATTATCAGACTGCTGCACAGGTGGTTTGGGTGGTGGTCGTCGGGCAGGTTGTCCAGGCACAGGTCGCTGTGGTGCTGGCCTTGTTGGTGTTATATGTGGTCTTGGTCTCTTTAGATGATTTTTCTTTGTTTTCTCTGCCTTTTTGGACTTGTGTGTTGTAACAGGCCCTTCTTCTGGTCTTGGTGGTGACAAAGGTCTATCTTTCGGGACTGAAGGTCGTGGAGGTGGTGGTTTACGCAATGAAGGTTTCCTAGTGAAATCAAATGATTCTGTTTTTTGTGGAGGTGGGGGTGGTTTTCTCATTGGAACAGCTTTCACTGGTGCAATTCCTTCTGAAGAAAAATCTGTGAAAAATGTTGAATAGCCAACTTTGGTACTTTTTTGTTCAGTTTGCGGCTTGACTGGAATAGCCAATGATTGTCTATTACTTCTTTTATTCATACCACAATCCATGGTACGAAAATTAGATAACGGAAAATTAACAGAATGCCTCTTTTTATTTTCAATATGGTTTGGTTTGCTGAAGGACACAGTTCTTTTATTTTTTATTTCTGCAATTCTATTCTCTCCCGAATCATAGAAATCAACGTCAGAAGATTCAGATTTTTTAATCTCTTTTTTCATTTCTGTTTTCACCATTGAATCAATTTCACCGAAAGCTGCTGAACAGTCCTTAGGAATATGATTTTCCTCATTTTTTGTCCCATTTTTTAAAGTGGATATATCGGTTGATGACTTAGATTTTGGAATTTGACTAGCAGCTTCATCTTCCGTTAGGAATCTTTCTACTGAAGACTTATTTAGACCCTGGTCATCCTTTGCTGTTGTTGTAATCGTAATTGCACTATTAACTGTTTTAACTGGATCAGATTTATTTTTTAGAACACTTGCGGGTTTTGGACTCAATGGTTTCGGCTTAAGAATAGGCTTTGGGGCAAGACTTGGTTTCGGTTTCGTGGGAAGAGAAGGCTTTTTAAAAGATCCAGTTTTTG